TATGTACTGTGTTCTGAAGAGTTTTATAAACACATGCCATTTTCTGAGGTACGCTAAAAGTATTTGTAACTGTTCTTTAATGAAATTTTTAAAAACAGCAGACAATGTCCATTAACCACACTTTTGGGGTGATGAAATGTCAGAATGACTAATAGCCCAAAACAACAAAGGCATTTTCAGCTCAGAGAGTATAATAGCCAACCATAGCTCTGGACCACTGGGGCCCTATAACTTCTCATCTACCTTCAGAAGTTCCTGTTTCAGAGTGCAGGTCTGTCTGTGAAGCAATTCCCTCACTTATCCAGCATCTGCCTCCTCTTTTTCCCAGACTCATCCTTATTTCCATTGTGATTATTTTTTTATATTTGGAGTTTGTGGATAAATTCCATAAACTTGCTGTGAGATTTTTAAATCTATAGGCTAACTTGAAAATATCCAATAGTTCTACCTCAAGACCCGGCTATACTACTCCTGGGCATATAACCAAAAGACACTCCACCATATCCCAAGGACGCTTGCTCAATTATGTTCATAGCAGCTTTCTTTGTAATATTCAGAAGCTGGAGACAACTTAGATGTTCCTCAGGTGAAGAATGAATAAAGCAAATGTGGTACATTTGCACAGTGTAATACTACTCAACTATTAAAAACACGAACATTGTGACATTTGCAGGAAATAGATGGAACTAGAAAAGTTCATCCTGAGTAAAGTAACCCAGACTCAGAATGACAAACACGATATGTCCTCACTTATAAGTGGAGATTAACCACAAAGTACAAGACAACCATGATACAATCTACCGACCCAAAGAAGCTAAATAACAATGAAGGGCCAAGGGTGGATGCTTAAATCTCACTGAGAAGGGAAAATAAAATAGACATCTGTGGTGGATGGAGGGCAGGAACTGGATGGGAGAGGGACTGGGGAGGGGAACAGGAGGGATCAAGTGTGGGGTGTGTGGAGATATCTCTGGGACAAGCTAGAAATCTAAGACAATGGAAACTCCCAGGGTCTATGAGGGTGATCCTAGCTAAGAAACGTAGCAATAGGAAATATGGAACATGAAACTTTCACCTCCTGTAACCAGGCAAAGCTTTCAATGGAGGGAAGAAGATACAAACACAGGTACAAAACCTTTGGCCCACATTTTTTTCAGCCTGTAATAGGTGCAGGGATCAAGAAGGAACAGAAAGTGAGGGAATATACAGCCAAGGACTGGCCCAACTTGAGTTCAATGTCATTAGAGAGAGGCCACTTCTGACACTATTAATAATATCTGCTATGCTTACAGATGGAGATTAGCATTAACAGTCATCTGAGTGGCTTCACCTAGCAGCTGATGAAAACAGATGCAGAGACCCACAGGCAAACATTAAGTGGAGCTTGAATCATCTTATGTAAGAGGAAGAGAAAAACTTTAGAGTCATAGGCATCAAGAACACCACAAGAAAATCTACAGAATCATTAACCTGGGCACACAGGGGCTCACAGAGACTGAACCAACAACCAACAACCAAAGAGCATGCATGTGATGGACCTAGTTCTCCTACACATATGTAACAGATCTTCAGCTTGGTCCTCATGTGAGACCTCTAACTAGAGGAACAGGGGCTGTCTATGACTCTGTTGCCTGCCTTTGAATCCCTTTCCCTGAGCTGGATGGCCTTGTCTGGCCTCAATAAAAGAAGATGTGACTAGACCTATGGAAACTTATTATCTATGGGAGATCTCTCCTTCTCTGAGAGAATAGACCTGAGAGAGGAAGGGAGAGAAGGAGGGACTGAGAGAAGAGGAGGAAGGAGAAGCTACCATAGGGACATAATGTAAATAAATAAAACTAGTTAATGAGAAAAAATATGCAAAATGTACCACAATAATCTTTTATTCTCAAACATGTGCTTCCAACTTACACATCTGTTTCTTCTGTCATAAAAACCAGTTCTATTTGGCCATGCTGATAACAACCCAAAATGTTGGACTTATTCATATAATTGTCAAACATGGCTGTTTCTATAGATTCTTGATTTCATTCTCTTCCATGGTTTGAGCTAAAAAGGACCTTGAGAAAATACTGAGTAAATAAAGAATAAAAAAATTGTTTAAAAATTTTAAAATAAAAAGGATTTTTAAAAGTGACACTTGTACTTTCTTACAATAATAGCTGGCATATCACAGCCTTTGGTAATCAGGAGTCTGAAGTAAATACATTCCAATTATTCATCACAACCAAGAAATATCTGTGAAGGTGGAGATGACACTCCTGACTGTTTCTATATCTTTGAGTTTTGCTTGTCTATTGAACATCGGGGGTTTATTTTTAATTTCCTCATCTATGACTTTCTGATTTATAGTTTCTATCTCAGAAGACAAGACTTTTTCTACTATAGGTCAAGCACTAACAGTGCTGATAAAGTTCAACACTTTAAAACTTTGATTTAAACTTGGTATTGATTCTTCGTGAATTTTATGCCAAAGAATCATGTTATTGTATATGTAACTAAAATTATACAATGCATGTACATGTGCTTATATATGCATATGTAGTTTAAGTGAAGTTGCACCACTTACAGTGTATAATGCTTGCCCAAGACTCATAGGACATCACATAAAATCTACAACATGCGTAAAATGAAACATCTGTTAGAGTAAGCCAAAGGACTCCAATACAGAACAGGCTGTTGCTGTAGCCCTTGCATGCCTCTCAAGAGGTTTCATTAAGGTAAGCTCTTAATGATTGAAGAAACTACATCAGAGACAGAACTCAGAAAATTCAATCTCTATCTGACCTGAAACACTCCTTCCAATGGTTTAAAAGTTCAAGAACCAGACCATAGCTTGTAAGTCACTAAACAGAAGGAATCAATCAATCAATGGTCCTGTCCATCTATAACAACCTTCATTTTCACAATCAACATAGGGCAAGGTGTCTCCTAAGCCTGCGATCGTGGTACTCATATACTGACATTACATAGCACCTGTCCAACTGAAGGCCAAAGTAATTCAGATTTGGCACACATTACATGAAAAGTCAAGGATGTTTCGAAAATCCATTCCCATCTTAACTAAAGCAGTGCTCAAATTTTGAGAAATTGATGTTAACAATAATAAATCTCAGATGCTTTCAAAAATCACAAAGCAAAGATAGATGTTTGGTTGAGGTCTACCCAGTATCCAATATGCCTTCATGCTCTGTATGAGTAGAACAACTGAGTGCAGCAGAACATAAGCCCTCTCACCTAACCTGGACACACAGCTTCATAGATTTACAACTACTTTTCTCCCATGTAGCCCAGGGATTCAGTTCCCTGACAGCATAAAGCATATTTTCTTGAGGTGAACAACATTATTAATATGAGATTCTTTTCATGAGGCCAGTGCTAAGTTAAGAAGGCCGCCACATGATCTGGAAAACAAAAACAAAAAAACACGATAGGCCACTTTCTGAGACCATTTGTCTAATATGTGGATCCTCCTGAGTCTCTTGAGTCTGATCGTGGGTGTGGTATAGCAAATTCTAACAAAGAACTGTAGAAGTAATTAGGGGAAGGAAGGGAAGGCAGTGGAGAGAGGTAGGGCAAATTTAAATTAAACATGTTTGGATACTGGAATAGGCATGATGAATGGCCTGGAACTCTTAATGTTCTACAGAGTAGATTTTATATATCAAATTTTTATATTTATTAGGATTAAATCTATAGTGTTTGAAATTTTGCTTTCATGATGAGAACTGCATTGAAAGCTAAATCAGCATGATGAGTTTCTTAAGTGTATAACAAAAAGTCTAAAACTTAAATAATATTTTATTATTAGTTATTTTGGTATTATCATGAGTAGGTAGTTTCAGGGAGAAATTAAGAGTGGCAAGAGATTGCAAAGCGAGAGGGGATCTCATATGTGTGGTTCTTAACATCAAAGAATGACTCATGTAATTATCACCATGTGGGCAACACTTAAACCATAGAGATATTATTGATCTGTGATGCCTGGGGTGCCCCCATTAGTTCTGATCTTTGAAGACATGATCCTCAGATGTTAGCACTCTTTAGGAGTGGTAGCATTTTTTGGAGGAAGTACATGACTGGGTACAGGTTTCAAATTTCAAAGCCTTGCTTCACTTCCTGTACCCTATCTCTGCTTGGCTTCTTGCTCTTGCCAACAGGAGTATCTGCCTGCCTGTTAGATGTACTTTTATCTCTCTGGGATGGAAAGCAAACATGAATTTATTCACAGTAATTTATTTCATAAGCCATAATTAACTAATATAAAAATGGATATTCCCACTCACTTCCAATATATGATTCTTATAGATTAACCTTAAATCAATGTTCACAAAAATCTTTTTCTAAATAAATTATTCTGTATGAGCCATTCATTTGTTTCTACCGTCTTCATGGTTTCAGCTTTTTGTATAGAATGTAACTGGTACTGTCACGAGGCCATGGAAACTGAAATCTATTCTGCCAGTGATTTACCATGTAAGATTGGGTACCATAAACAATCAAACTGAGGCTTTTACTTATGTAATTGGCAGAGATAAGGTTAGGACTTTCACTGCCAACTTTTATAAATTATTTAAGGTTTGCTGTAATATCATTGTTGTACCTGATAGGATAAATTTGTTTCAATGCAATATAAGTAGCCTTATAGTGAGGATGTTGGACATTCAGTGTTTCTACTGATAATTTAATAACTTCTTTGTAATAGCATAGGTCAAACTATATTTCATGCATGGAGTAGACTCAGAACAATAATAAAGGACTGCAAGGAGAATTTTCAAGGAAGGAGATATAGATCAAAGTGGCTTAACGGAAGAAAAGTAAATAACACAAGCACACACAGACACACAGACACCCCCCACACACACACACAAAGTTTAAATGGAACAGGGGTGAGAGGGAAAGATAAAGGAGTTAATATAGGAAAGCATAACTAATACTAAAACTAGTTTGAGAAACAACACATTTGAAACATTTCCAAAGAATCCTCTTAAAATAAACATTCACCTATACAACAAAAAAAAAAGAGATTAAACAGAGTTACAACATAATTTTCTAAGGACACTCCTACTAGATGACATAACAAATAAAATGGTGCTGGAAATGGGTTACCTCGTAAAGAATTGTTGGACTATGAGTTCCCGTAACTCCCTCTGCAATAGGTCATTGCATTATCTTGCTTCCCATCCAGTATTTAATGTTTAGACTCTAATGCTAGAGATGTCATATGCTTGTCTCACAGAAATAGAGAAATCAGTCTCATAGTCTCCTGGAAGCTTTATTCCTAATGTCTGTCATTAACAGAGCTGGACTGTGGTATACATACTACCAGAAAAGAAAAATAATCAGACTTATACAGCTACAATCTTGTGAACTGCAGTAAAGTGTGGCCTGGAAAGATATTACAAGTTCAGCAATAGTGGCAAAAGTGATATGGGGCTTACCAATAACTTTGCAAAATGCATTTAATGTCCAATTGACTAGTTTGCATTTATGTAACATAAAATATTTCCTTAGATTCTGAGGGAGACTACAGTGGCTTCTGAAGGCCAAGGTCAGCTGTGTTCTTCCCATTTCCACAATGAAGATTGGGACATCAGAGTCTCAAAGGTCATCAACCAATGTTCTGCTGAAAGCTTAGGATGGCTAAGAAGGGAAAAGTCACCAATAAGCCTCTGATGGATGAAGAGAGAAGACACTGGGTGGTCTGGAAACTGGGTCAGGGATCTTGTCATATTCTGAGTCATGGCACCAAATTTGGGGGTACCAGAGTTGGCACAAAACACAACCAGACAGCAAATTCTCAGCACAAAGAATGTTTTATTTATCCTGGAGGGAACAGGTGGGGAGTCTTCCTCTAGATTAGCAGCAGATGTCTCTGTAGGTGTGGTTTTTAAAGAGATAAAGGAAAAGTCTAGATTAGGATAAATTGATAAGTCTTTATCTCTGTCTTTCCCTGTGTTGGTCTCTACCTTCCCTTATGCTTCTCTGTCTCTGTGTGTCCTCCTCCTCGTGTGTGTGTGTGTGTGTGTGTGTGTGTGTGTGTGTCACTGTCTTAGTGCTAAAGATTATTTCTATAAAAGAACTACATCCCCAGCAAATAATGCTCTTTACTAAAATGACACCTGACAATGATTTCACATTACTGTGATCTAAGAATAAGAGAAAAAATTCAAAAGCAGAGGTGATATCTTATGTAAAAATAATCAGTAAGTCATCTGCTTTAGATATAAGCTCACAATGTGGTTAGAGAAGTTTCTCAAGGCAAGGGCAGGGATTAGCGGGTACAGAATCTTTCACCAAGCTTGATGACTAAGGTTAGATCCCAGAACATATTTGGACAGAAAGATAATCCAAAGTGTCCTCTTATATCCACATACACCTTGGCACAGACATGTACACACACACGCACACATACACACACACATATACACGCACACACACGCACACACATACACAGGCACCCACACGCGTGCGCGCACACACACACAGGCACCCACACGCGTGCGCGCACACACACACACACACACACATACACAAATGGTAGTTTTATAAAAAGATATCCTTTTACTTAAGAGGAAATGAGGATAAATGTCATGCAGTTGACCTGCGTACAGTACACAGAGAGCAGCCAAAAATAGCAGAATACAAAAATACAAGTGGAAAATGTCAACAAATAGGTAAATATGTGAAGATTGTGTATGTTATTCTCACTGTACCTCCCTGTGTATTTATAACTATACTCGAATAAACAGAATAATCTTAATTTGAAATATTGTTCTTTGGAAATTAAACTTTAGAAATTCTATAGTAATTTATTATGAACTACTTATTTTAATTTTAGGAACTGTAGCTAACTCAACTTACTCTCTTTGTTCATTCTGCCTAGTACTTTTCATATGTATGCATGCCATATACATTTTCCACACTGCAGTGTGTAAAATCTGTCTTCCTCCTCTTCTCCTGCCTCCTCTCCTTCTGCCTCTTTCCCCTATCCCACCCCTCTTTATTCCCGCTTTCTTACACGTCCCATCTCGCTTCCCCAGGCAGGAACTCTCAATGTCCTTGGTCTTACAGGCACATGCTCTGGAGCAGCTTCGGCTCTCCTTCATCGAGTACCTTCAGTGCATCTGTCTTCTTGGCTTCGTTAATGAATCTGCTCAAAGGCAACAAAAACGCACAGTGCAGTAAAGGGACGTAAGCAGTAGCTCATTCTCAGGCGAACCATTGCTAATGTTTTCATCTGTTATCTTGTGAATGAAAGTGAATAAACGAAAGTCATGGTTTGGAAGACAGTGCATTGCGATGAGACGGGAGCTTAGGAAGCAAATCCCAACATCCAAAGCTCATCATTCTCGGAAAGAGACAAAAGCCTTCTTCCTTTCTAGGGGAAAGCGTCAGATGCTGTGAGCGTGCATGATAGAGTAACCTCTACTGAAAGGAATTTAATATATGTCTGGAGAGACCTGTTTAGTCCAATATGTAGATTGAAGAGGAGAAAATAATGATCTTGGCAACCAAAACTGCCTCAAAAAATAAACAAAACACACATTTTACCAAGAGAACAGATAGCAGCAACCAGGAAATACCTAGTGAAGTCACACAGGGGGAACATCTGACAGTTTTATTAAGAAAGGAGGCAGTGTTCTTGGGTCACTGGTTTGCAGAGACTGCCATTTCCTTATCAATAAGGAATTAATTATGAACATCAGAATATACCTTTGGAGGAAAAACCACCACCATCTTTTCTGTTCCATGGTACTGTAATTGAAAAAGTGAGAAACAAAAATTAGAAGGTGGGAAACTTTTATGCTAAGATTTTTAAGGTAGTCTCTCCTAAAAAGTGTTATAAGCCAGTTTTTACCAATGAGGTACAGGTGTAAGTTGTGTCCTCTACAAAATTGAGCTTTTTATTGACCAATTCTTTAACTGGTAACCTAACATGATAGAATGTTTACTACTGTGGAGGACGATTGGGAATTTAAAGACCTGACTACAGCTATGAAACAGGAGCTGTGTGATCATGGCTGGACCAAACAACTGCACTAAGCTTTAGTTTCCTGTGTATAAACGTAATTCATATAAATGTAATTAAGGCTTACAGTGTCCAATCAGCCTAAGTTTGGGTTTATAGAGAATGACATCATTATTCACATTAAATCACATGTAAAGCAATTGATATTTGGAGAGAGCACTGGTAGCCCTTAAAGGAGACCAATAAAGAAAAAAAAAAGAATCATTATACTTATTTTCTTATACTAATTACAGAATTGTAATATGTGACATTACCTTCTACAGAACCAGTCTTCCATTTCTGTGAGTCACATCAAGAGCAAGTCGTTGTGTGCTGACTCCTAGTGAGCCCTCTGCTTTTTCATTTAGCATTTAGAACTGTAATTAAAGGGACTAAAATTTTACCATCATTTCTGACACTTGGTTAATTACAAGTAGCATGAATGTTTCCATCAGTGACATTGGTCACATTCACAGTGTCATGTAAGCATCAGGATTGCTTTGTTGAAAAATGCTTTTCTTATTCAAACAGCAAACCCTAGCCCCATTCATTACTCCTCTCATCGACCTACTTCACACCCTGACAATACTTTTCTTTCTTGGTGGTATGCATACTTGAAAATTCCTAGGGCGTTTTTAACTGAATGCTAACTATATTCTACATTGTGTAGGAATAATTTCAAATTTTACCTCCTTCATAAAAAAAAGTTTCATAGAAATGTTCTCAGGAAATATTTCATATTTCCTTAACCAAAAATACTTCCTCTCATGTGCAGCCAGTGACAAGTGGTAATAATGAATTATTTCCAGTGAGTTAGCCAATACATTTTTAGAAAGAGAATGACATAAACATGAACTTCTTTCTGAAATACTGTGGAAATGGATGCCCTATGTCATTTTCAGAGCCAAAAAATACACAAAATCACTAAACACAGAGGTATCTTTGCTAGCAAATTCAGCTCTGTGGTGATGCTGGAGGATTGTGTGGAGGTATGAGGAGAGGTGAGTACCAGGTGCACATACAGAACTCAATGTAAATAACAATAAAAGCTGGTATATGCTTGAAACACAGAGTTGGATATAGCTATCTAGTCAGTTTGCACTCAAAAGATCCACTCAGGAGGTTCAGGATGCCCAGCCAGAACCCCTTTCATTATGCCACCTAAGAATGCATGTAGAAAAACCCAACTGTATAGCAAAGACCAGCTCTGGTCCTGTCTGATGACACCAAACCTGATAAGCTGCTACACAGCCATTCAAGAATCTCAGCACTTGGTGATATAATTATTTGCTTAATTCAATACTATTCCTTATAAAATCCATTTGGGAATAAAGGTAAATTTGCAAAACTAAGTTAGACTCCCCAATGTCACCAGAAAAAAAAGAAGACGAAACTTGTGTAGCTTTAGAGTTCATGAAAGAGCAGACGATTGTGTGATGAGGACCATGGTGCGCGGATTAAATCCTTGCAGCCTACAACCTTTACAGGACCTTAAGAATCCCCACTTTCTACACCAAGTGCCTCGTACAACTGTGTTCAAACCCCACCGATCAAAATACAAGGAACCTCTTCCAGTCTACCTACTGTTGATCCATTTACACACATTAAGCTATAAATAAAAAAATAGGTTACTTATTTGACAAAGCTCTCCATTCTTACTGTTGTTAATTGATGCTAATCTCAATGCTTACTCTGTGTCATTTGACAAACTCAAATTACCCTGTTCAGAATAACATCTGGGAAATATCTATTAGCATGTGCCATGATGTTCTACCAAAGGGGAAAAAAACTGATTATGTTTTTAAAATTACTTGAGACTTTACTGTCGTACAAGATTATATTAAATTGGTTTTTCACCAAGTATCATTGAATTGAGAATGGTCTCAGTTTCTGAATGGAATGAGTATCAATCAAAAGAGATCTCTAAAAGATAGTAGGATAGTGACGTGTGTTTGGAATGCCAAAGCTTGTAGACGAAAATCAAGAGATTCAGGATCTGAACTCAAATCCACCAGTAGTTTCTAAGATACGCATGGCGTTTTGTACAGTTGCTCATGGATCATTCAATAAATAAATAATATTCTGACTATTAAAACTCTTACAACATTTTTTAAAAAAAGATATAGGTGGTGGAAGGTACAGGGGAAACAAGGGTCAACAGATGACAGGAAAAAAACTCAATACCCTATGTACAATCACGTTAAAATAGATTCTATTTTATAAATGTCTAAGAAGTCTATATTTTCCTTCTGTACTAGAGAGTATGAAGCTGACCCTGGATTTCTACAAGCCTGCAGCTTGTTAACGTAGGTCTAAGCTTTAGGCCTTACCAGAAGGTGACGACAAAATTTTCCCTGGGCCAAAAAAGAAAGATGGACTTGCAGGTAGTACTCTTGTCTCCTCCCACATCGTTTGCATAGTCACTAATCCAGAGGTAAGTCAGTGGGATGATATTTTTTATCTTAAAATTCTTCTTATGTCTAGGAAGGAAATCAAACAACTCTGTTAGTTTATTTTTCAATGTAGGTGGACATGCTCATAGCAAAACCCTGTTCTTCCTCTTCAGAGCAGAAGACTGCTCCTCCATTTCTATCATCTGGACACAGATTATCCCACAATGGATGGGTCTCAGCAAAGCTTGCCCCAAGGAAAATTAATATTGGATCCAAACTAAATGCACTCTTTCCATTCATGAAAAGCTAGAGACTATCTGGTATTTGATGACTTGAAAGGGTTTAATATTACTGTAGTATGTATTTTTTAAAATGCAAAGTTTTTAGACTCCACATATGTGAGGCTAGAAATTCCATTTTAGAAATTCTCCTCATTATTTACTGCAGGTCTAAGATGCCCTCCTTCCTTAAAAATCAAGCCAGGAAAGTTATATAAAAGCATGAGAGAGCTGTCCCATCTCATAATACTTCTGAACAACAGCCACATGCTAAGAAATATTTCATATATTTTAAGGTCATTGTTTCATGCGTTCCTCAAATAATTGCATAAACTAAGCTGTTCTAGATCTACTTTGTAGTTGAGGCAACTCTAAGAACAGTTAATAAGTGAGAGCAAGGGTCTGGATCATAACCTAGGCAACCCAAAAGCCAATCACAGCTCAGAATAGCTGGGGCCCTACGGTTCTCATCCACTCCCTGTAGCTTCTATGGGCATGAATTCTGTGGAGTCATTCTCCAATCTTTCTCTCCTTGTTTCTCTTTCCTTGTCAGAGCTGTTACCTTTTATACGGGATTTAGTCTTTATTTTGAGAGCAAAGGGAGAAATTACGTGACTTTACTACTAAAGAAGTAACATTCAACCTTTATGTCCGTGCAATGTACATTTATATTCAAACACATGCATCAAGAGGGACCTTGGCAGTCATATTTAGCAATATTTAAATTTGAGGAAAAATAATTTTTTTATACAAGTAATGAGTTCCTGAAACTTGCAATCCCCCTCAATCAGCCAGAAATGTGATAGTATTATTGGCATGTACCAGCATGCCTGGTTCTTTTTCTTCATTCTTAATTTTGTTCTCCACAAGAGTGGACAGCAAGAACAGATCTTTCACTGATTCTTATTTAATAAGTGGGGACAAATTGCTTGCCAAAAAAGGGGGAAAACCTTTATATTTTTGTACATTTAAGGACTGGTGAAGTGGTAGCCTTTCCTAATGAGAAAATGAATACATAAGTACATACACATTATTAGATACAACCAAAATATCATTGAACAAGAAGAGATGGCACTTCTTCCTTCTCCAGCCTCTTTTTAGAGCCACAGGGCCTTGGACCACCAAGAACTGACGCATGCCATCCAATATCGATTTCTCACCAACGGTTTCCATGGCAGGAGAATGGTCTTTCCTGGTACAGGTCAAACACTAACAGAACAGATAATCAGTGGATAATTTATGGGATACATTTTATGTGGTAAATTTAAAGGTTGACATATAATTAAAACATAGTCTCAATTGTTAAGTGTGTGTGTATGTGTGTCTGTGTCTGTGTGTGTGTGTTTTGAATGGAGGTGAATAGAAATAAAATAAAATTAGATCAATGTATCAAAATACCGTAATGAAACTCATTACTGAGAAGATGTCTCTGTTTATAAAGTGTGTCTTTAAATCTCTACATCCTGGTGATGGAGATACTGTAGATTTTGATGTCTGAAAACTATGTGTGTTTACTGATCTGTTAATATTTAAATTAACAAAAATAGGAAGATCTACTAAATTCTACATAAAGGCAACCTTTGAATTAATTCTTATTTAAATGGTCTGATATGCTGGATGGGGTTAAATAGCAAAATAAGTTCTAGATATCAAAAATACTACAGCGAAATCCATTACTTTGTATATTGTCTTAAGTAGCTTTAAAGGAAATAAAATCCACATTTTGGATTTTTTTTCTAGTTTGTATCTCTAAAATCAATATTTACATGAGAAAAGGTTAACTATGCCCAATCACAAGCCACACCTTCAAAGGAGACATAAATAAATGCAGCAGTTTTTATGTTATGGATAACCAGTGAAACTAAAAGGGTAAAGGGAGCCTAAGACAGTCACTGTCTGTAAGACATTGACAGGACGATTGAGAAATAGTTCTAATTTGGTTTCAGGTTATTTGGCAACACAGATAAGTGAGCATTACTGGAATTTCAATTGTATCGTAAGTAAAACAACACCAAGGTTTTGGAAATAGCTGTCAAGAAAATCAAGTAACATTGGAAACATCAAAATGTTGCTGGAAACAAAAGAAATCTTAATACATTTCTTGAAATCTTGTCTTTTTCCAACAAGAGTCGTTTGTCACAATAGGTAAAACTACTAGATCGAACAGAACGTAAAACCTCTCTTGTAACTCAGATATCTCCCTAGATAGTTATCTGACTTGTAGCCCTGAGCATGTCCCAACATACCCAACAGTATAAAAGTGACTACGCTCTTGAGTTGAACAGCACTGAACATCATTAACAAGTGTTATATTTCATAACAGTGATGATGTTAAGAGTTAGTTCACGTGCTCTGAAGGAAACAAAAATACTTCCTGAAATCACCAGTTTTCCCTGAGGTTGAAAATGGGTAGTAAAGGAAGAATACCTTCACGGGGGATCCTGGAGTAGATAACCTTTCAAAGGACTTGAAACTCGTATCTCTTTTTGGCACTGAATACAAAGGATGGCTAACCCACTGCTAAAGTGTGAGAATTCTGCAGTAGTCAGGGTGACAGACCAATGTGATGTCATAGTTCTAAGCTTCATGTTGTAACTGACAAAGTGTCACATTTATTTCATGTCTGCTCAATTTTAGCTTGATAGAAATTATGTTTGAGAAAATTTGAGATTCACATTAGTTGTAAGGAGTAACACAGAATCTCCCAATATTTATAGTGATCAATAGTAAACCTTATCCCCAAACTCTAGTGCACTCTCCTAACCTGGTACAGGTTATAGTGTGTTAATTCCTGCTGCATGGCTGGAATGGTAAGTGATGTTTGATTTGACATGTAATAAGAGCAGTTTTGGTACAGTCACACCAGAGTGAATGTCACCATAATATGGGAGTTTGAGAGAGCACCTGATGAGACAGGAAGCTAGGCAGAGTAGGAGAGACTGGTCTTTATCTATGAAAAATAACCTCCATGTAAAGTTTGAGATGGGATCTAGAAAAATCATTCAAAAGGCCACACGCCCAAGTGCCACTATCCTTCAATATTGCCACATGGGGTCCTAAACTTTATCACATGAGCCCATGGGACCAAAATATATCTGATTATAGGCCCAGGATTTTAATATTGATACAAATAATATTAGGATGATCCCACTACAAAGAAAATGCTCTACTTTTGTATAACTGATATTTAATGTTGAGCACCCTTAGTTGCCATCACATGTTAATTCTCTGTCTCTAGCATTGTCTTTTCAAGAACACAGTCTGTCAGTGACAAAGGTCATACTAGACCTTTCTGTAATTTTTCTCAATCAACATAATTGGATGTTCACTCTGTGATGTATATTACTGTGCATCATTGAAGGTTCAGTTATAGAGTATCACATATACATCATGCCTGCATAACACATATTCCTCAATATTATTCTTTGTTTAATAACTTCACTACTGAAATTATTATAGTTGCCCCCAGTTTGGTGATATTGTAAATGTAGTTATTAGAATAATTTGTCTAGAGGTTGTCCCATTTTTTAAGTGCCATGAGTGTTTATTTTTGTAACACTTACCCCACTGAGGATGATTATCAGTGTGTACATGGTAATGGCTTCTCCTTTATCTATTAATATTTCATATTTTTAGCTACTGATTTGTTTCAACAGAACTGAAAGTGTGAGAGAAAATGTCTTAAGTGAAAATGAATGGCAAGAGGAATTCTCAGGGTCAAACAAGATTTGGTGTCCATTCTCCCTTGCCTCTGAACTTTCCTTTGGCCCTATTTCAGGCCTCTGGACATATTAGAAATTACAGGAAGACACCAAACTGTGCTAGCACTGTGTGGCCCAGTAGTTAACCTACCTGATCACATCCTTCTTTCTCTTGGATATATACACCCTTTGAAGGGGCTTAGTGGCTTGCTTCTGTGCAAGTATCTATCCTTTAGATAGCCTAATGGCTGCTCTGGCACAAAGGTACCTTGGACTTTTTTTGAGCAAGCTCAAGAAGCAGCTGTAGTAAGTGCTCATGGAAACCTATCACTTGGACCAGAACAGGTGAAAATGTCCTGGCTCTGAGCATCTTTAAAGCCAACAAATCATACTATTGGCACTTTGAGCAGCTGCCACCTGCATCTGACCATCTTTTTCTCTTCACATGCAGCTCCAGCTTGGTCTGATGGATACCACAGAGCTTTAATGCAAAACACTAGAGTACTCTGCCACAGACTGTCCCATCCTGGCAAGCTGGATGAACTGCAGATTCCAGTTCACACAGTATTGGGTTCCAGAGCCACTGCAGTACTAATAGCTTCTCATGGTGTCTTAGTTAGTGTTTACTGCTGTGAACAGACACCATGACCAAGAAAGTCTTATAAAGGACAAAGTTTAATTGGGGCTGGCTTACAGGTTCAGAGGGTTCAGTCCATTATCATCAAGGAAGGAATATGGCAGCATCCAGGCAGGCATGATGCAGACAGAGTTGAGAGGTCTACATCTTGATCTGAAGGCTGCTAGTGGAAGACTCACTTCCAGGCAGCTAGAACAAACAACCTACATAACTTATGACACCTTCCCGAGTGTAACTGGTAAATCGTATTTCAGGAGCTTTACGAACATTTCTAAAACAATACTCAGGAAAAAAAACAAAAAAAACAAAAAAAAAACACTGACCTAAAAGTACATAATCAAATGAAAATGAGGAAATCAAGGGAAAACATATAAACTGTGCCTTATTTTGCCGAGAATAAGCAAACTACCTGAGTCATTTGGAAATCTAAGGCAAAATAAGAACTCAGTAAAAGATTGCTTGTATACTTATTTTGGCTGCAGGCTGGAATTCTCCAGAATTCTTGTATAATGAAGCAACTAATTACAGATATGTGAAGATTCCTCGTTGGAGACTGAGGAAAGGAATGTAGATAAGGTGGTAGCGTTTCTTTGGCTCCAATAACACAAAGGATTTTACATATTCATTTTTTTCTATGTAGATATAAAATCAGAGCATACCTGTTGTAAGGGCTCCATCTGCTGGATGATGCATAATATAACAACGCAGTTTACATCTCTTCACAAAGCTGCAGTGACAATTATTATCCATTTGATGTAAGCTTCAGGCTACTAAAAATATAATTAAATATTTAACAGCCCTGTGAGGGAGAAATAGTAAAAGCAAAGCTAATTGTGTGATTAAGCATAATAAAAACTATCAAGTAATTAGATTAAATGTCATTATATGCAAATTTGTACCTTGTATTCATGAAGAATGGTTCTCTTATAAAAAATAATGACACATTGACAACATTGATTATGTCTTATATATTTGCTCCTCTGTAGATAGATTTGGTACTTTGCACAAACTTTGACATTAAAATTTTGACTTTAGCAACATAAAATTACCTAAAATTTATTTTGTTATGAATACTATAACTAATCGAATGAATAGTTATTTAATTTCTTGAGTTGACTTATAAACATTTATAACATGTAGTCTCAGCTTTATTGACGTACATATGCCTAAACTTTGTGTCCTATTTTAATTTAGAACTGAACTACTTAAGGACTTTTTTTAATAAACATTAACTTTTCAAGATCAGATATTGCTCTAAGGTTTTATTTTAAGTCCTGATTGCCGGTGTTGTTTCCCAATCTGAATCCTTGTTCCTTTCAGAATCCCTTCTGTGTCTCTGTAACCGTCTGTCCACTATCTTCCCATCAATGTGTTACAATAATTTTTTTTAGTATTACTTTCTTTGGATGGACTTAGTTTGTATTTCTACAAAAAGCACTCTACGAAGTGAGTATTTCAGAAGAGGAACTCAAAAATACGTGTAATCAACTGTCGTTACAAATATGCTATAAAGCGAGTAGATGCTGCAGTTGGTAGTATGGTTGACAGTAGATTCACCAATTTGAGGGTTTTTTAAGTATGCATTATAATGTCAACCAGGCAGCTAAAATTGTTTAAGGTACTGAGGAACCGGTTCTGAAAGCTATAACACAGTGTTGCTAAAGGCACTTGTCAAGAACTAACACTGGATTACCTTAATTGTACTGTGGTTTATACAATGATCTATTTTCTTTCGATGAAACATTCAAATTACTCAGCAGACATTGTAAATTGTGTTATTACTTAGAAGGAACCAAAGAAATGCTGTTTATTCATTTCTTCTCATTTTTTCTTCT